TTTACCACCTTTGGAAACATTTAGGGAAACATGTTTTCTCGTTTATCCAGGACCTAACGGAACATGTGTATGTATAACTTTCATAAAAGTGCTCTTTTTGTACTGCTCAATCAAAGACCTTGCGAAAACAGCTCTATAAGAAATGATTAACTCTGATAAGTTCTGGCAAAAGAGTAGCTTTARTATTTCTTAATCCAAACATCAGCGCACGTTTCTCCCTCGTTGTCATATTCTAATTTGCCATTCAAATCTTGATCCACCCATATCCTGAACTYCTTGCCTGCTGTCACTGCTAGGGGAGGTGACAACTCAGGGAATGTAAGTTCTGGGTCCATGTTGGTCACACCAGGCAACTCGTATTGCAGGTAACCTTTTGTAGTCCTAGTCAGTGGGAAGTCAGGTGRTGGACTGATTCTATTGTTGGTGTTATTCGTAATGTGTAAATTAAGATTTTTGTTGCTTTCATAGGTAGTTCCCCAGTAKSCTTTGGSTTTTCCAMGTCCCCACGMTAKTCCRCCTCCAGACACATAAACAAGTTTGAARTTCAAGACATGGCAGGCAACTGGAATAGTAAACCTTCCGAACTGATCATCTTTTGCAGCAATACACACTTCAGTACCGACTTTAAGCCATTCTACGATGCAATAAGATTGAAATAGTTAGTGTTAATGRCATGTAGTGAGGTAGCAGTTTTTTCGAAGTAACGAGTTGCTGAATTCTATTGCGGTTTCAAAATGCCTCGGCATTTGAAATTCCACTCGGATTTTGAAACCCAAATAGAATACAGTGACGAGTATTTGACACGACATCTTATACTCTTTTTGTTATGTTTGTTTTTATTTCAAAGTTCTAGTACTTGAAATATTTCAAAGTCCGAGTAGCAGGGATGAAGATTGGGATGAAGATGGAAAAAGTTGAAAAATCATGAGCTGGATATTTTTGATTATTTTTTACAATTATCCCAAGAATTCGAATGAGATATTATAAAATTAAAATTACAATCCTCTTGGGTACGAGATTGTTCACAACTAAACGAATAACATTCGTCGTAACCGAGGTGAAAAACGTATGCGCATGCGTGAAAGTGTTGATGCTTTAAATCCAATCTCGTACCCAGACCCTGCGTTTCTTCTGGACTTCGGCGAAGAACGAGGGCTCTGGCATAATCCATCTTTTGGCGCATGCGCAATTTTCCGGAAGTGA